TTTACTGCCTAGAGGGTAGCTGACCTTTCTTATATATATAGGCCTCGTACAATCTATAAATGATGAAGGAAATATAGAATTCCCTATTCAAAAACTTTCCTCAATTTATATATTTTTTCTTTTTCCTTTTAATTTAAGATTTGGAACTCTTGTATATCAAAACAGAAAAAAAAAAAAAAAAAAAAAAATCCATTAATTAGGAAGTGCAATGAAGGCTTTTTGATGGGGAAGAATAAAATATTGAAGGTTTCTTTTGTGCCCTAGACATTTGTTAGGTAATGAATTAAGGAAGAGCTGTTTGTGCTCCAAATTTCTCCTCAAGAAATTCCACCCTTAGTTTTCTTTAATTTAAATGACAAAATCGCTCTCATTTATTCAAATTCTATTCTGTTACATAATGGTTAGAGATGGATGATCAGAGTCTCGAACTACATCTTTTCCATCTTTTCATTGGCGAGATTATATCTATGGCCATGATATGGTTTATAGGCTATGTCTTGCATGATTGATCACAAATTTTCCATACGCAAGGGAAGAAGAACTTGTTTTTTAATTTTAATTTTATGTTAGATAAAATACTCGCACTCACCCACAAATGCCCACTACAGGGTAGAACCCCTCACCTCCCCTTTGAGTAAGGAGAGGTTATACCAGCTGTGCCTAAGGGAAGAGTTCGATTGCCCCAACTTTATATATTCCAGTTTCTCTTTTCAAAATGTAAGAGGATGGCAAAGTCATGGACTGCCACGACCAATGTGGTAAGACCCGCGACCTTTACAGGGATACCTGGGACCTTTGCGGAAATAACCGCGACAATAACAGGGAATGGGCATGGAAGGGTGAGGGGCCACTCTTCAAAGTTTTCATAACCCTTGACATGGCTGTGTCTCGAATCTCCATGTTACAAATTCACCTCTTTGGGGACCTCAAGGAGAGGGAACTCGTGGTGAATAGTGGCACGGGAAACTCTTGGTGTAGCCCAAGATTGTGTCAAGTCGCCAACACTAGATCTAGGAGCATAGCGGTAGTGATGGGGTAGGCACTGGTGGTTAAACTCTGATGAGCTAACAAATAGTTTGCTTACTTAGGTTGCAAAGTATGCAAATGGGGGTAGGTCTGCGTCTCAACTCTTCTTCCTGTAGACGACTGACACGGGAAAGACGATGATGAGGACGACCTTGTTTCTTGTGATAGTCTAACAAAGACATTTACCGTGGAAATGTCTTGAAAAGAAGATCGCTAGAAACAATGTCGGACCAAGGCATGCATCATGGGAGTAGCTACCTATCGCGCTTAGATGTTGCTTCCTGCCGTGATGTGTGATAACCAGACATACCATGTCATAGCTCAGCATGGGAATAGGAGTCTCTAGTGGTTTGGTAAGATTGAGTAAAGGGTTCATCTAAGAGGGATCTAGATAGGCGTGGAGAGAATCCCGCTCACGTTCCCCGCGAGTTAGGGGGATCCATGCTCAGGCCCTGGGAGTGAGTATAGGACACGTGGCCCAATCATTTGGTGCCACGTGGAATGCTCATGCGCTCAGCACATGCTTGTAAATAGCACAACACTCTGACATCAAAAGCAACCTAAGGCCCATGTCCTATTCCGTCTCTTTCGGCCTTTACTCTATCTCCTTCAGCCCTATATTCTTCTGTCCTTATTTTTTAAGATCAACTGTGAGAGTGAGTATGCTTTCTATCTTTCCTTTTTCGTTCTCAACCCATATCCATCCTTTACACACAAAAAAAAGTTTTAAAAATAAAACATACACACATGCTCACTTCTTCTTCATTGATCCTTGATAATGGCGCATGGAAAAATCTTGACAACCAAATTCCTTGGCACTCACCAGCAAAAAATTTTGTGAATTGATTTGCTCAATAAATTGGGGCTAAGGTGGAAGTACAAATGAAAATTGATGGTTGTCGAAGACAAAAGGGGTTTCATGGAGGCATGGTTCATGGTAAGGTTGCTGGTTGTCGAAGATGGCCGTGTTAAAACTGCATGTGATTGACTCATTTGTAAGATGGTTGACTAGAATTAAAGTTTTGGCATCGGGTTTAAAAAATTCCTGTCCCCACCTTGTTGCCCCTTCCATCACTCTCACCCTTTCTTTCTATATGCCACCACTGATGCCTCCTTTTTGTTTTTCTTTTCAACCTCCCCATCTCATATTTCTTACAGATGGACTGGTAATATAACCAAGCAATTTATTGATAAAGCTTTTGTGATGTTGTTGCCCAAATTTGGTGCCGGGTTGTATTGTGACCCGCTTACGACCCGTTGGATGAGCTTTGTGTTAGCCCTTGGGTCGTGGACCCTAATTAGTACTCTCTTGTAGTCCGATATATAAGGGTGCTTAGGGTTTGGAGTGTGATATCAAGAGACATTGAAAATTGTACGGAGAGCGAGTGAGGGGCTGAAACTTATAATCTCCGATTTTACACATGGTGAAGATGTTCGCTGGATCTACAACATGGATGTAGGCTTTTCCGAGTCACGTATAAATCTTTGTGTTCTTTGTGTGGTGTGTTTATGTTAGCAGATATAATAGTCATGATTTATGGAATGACTTACTGTATTAGCAGAGATTTGATAGCCACGGATCATGGCATAAAATATGCCATAGAATATGATGTGATTTGATTTAGATTTGACTTAATTTCTTTTCTTGTAATATAAACATGTGCTCTTTTTATCTATAAATACTAGAGCTGTGAATGAGCGATATATCTCATTCAAGCCTTTACACAATTTTCTTACTTTTCTTCTTTTTATATTTCTACTTAGTATCAGAGCCAGGTGGTCTGACTGCAATGAGGGCGTTGCGAGTTTGGCACCACCTATTCGGGAATGGTCTAAGGTGACATTGCCCATCCGGGAGGTGTCGGGTAGGCAGGGTGGTCCGACCTCAAAATGTTGCAAGTTTGGCACCACCTATTCAGAAATGGTCCGAGGAGACATAATTGTTTCTTTTTATGGTTTGAGGAGACATTGCTGATTCTTTCATCTGCATTGTTTAAACACATTTATGAAGGGGAATGGTCTGAGGAGACATTGTTGATTCTTCCAACTACATGTTTTAAACATGTGTATGAAGGGAAACAGTCTGAGGAGACATTGTTGGTCATTTACAGTTTGAGGAGACATTGTTGGTTGTTAACGGTCTGAAGAGACATTTTTGATTTGTTGATCGGCACTTCATTTGAGAGAAAATCATCGCTAGTCAGATTTGCACTCCATTTGTCTCAGTAGCTTGCAGACATTTTTACAAAGGGCGTTAGCAAGATTGAGTTTGAGAATGCATTGTCCAAGTTGGGCGTTTTAGATATTCACGGACCAACTTGAGTGGGAGTGTTAGCAGATATGATAGTCACAATTTATGGAATGACTTACCATATTAACAAAGATATGATAGCCACGAATCATAGCATAGAATATGATGTGATTTGATTTAGATTTGATTTCTTGTAATATGAGCATGTGCTCTTTTTATCTATAAATACTAGAGTTGTGAATGAGTGATGCATCTCATTTAAGCCGTTACACAATTCTCTCATTTTTCTTCTTTTTATATTTCTACTGTTTATTTTTCTATCGTGCTTCATAATTGTCGCTTGGTTCGCTGCGTTTGTCGTAACAACTTTTAATGCATAAAGGATGAGTGGTTTGCATGGTTTAACAAGCAGGAGAAATGAAGGAATAAACCCATGGTTCTAAATGAATTTCAACTTGTTTGCTTTGTATAACATACCAAAATTTGTTAAACATTCTGAATTGAATAGTGACCAAGTCATCAGAAATTTGTCAAATATTTGATTGTTTGATCCAATGAAGAAAATAAAATATGTTTGATTTGAACGAGGGGTTTCACTAGTCTAGCTATTTACTGGAAAATAAAGGATTTACAGATCACAAACTTTATCATTGACAACGAATATGATGAAACAAAGCGGGTGGAGTAATTGAAGAACCAAGAGACATTCATAGAGTTTGAATGGGTTGAGAGAGAAAGTGATGGAAAAATTGTTATCTTAATGTCTTAAAGAAAGTGTGAAGTGTCAAAGGAGGTTTTTGGAGCATTAATAACAATGCCCTATATTTATATTGATTTTATTTCAAAAAAAAAAAAAAAAAAAAAAAAAAAAAAAAAAAAAAAAATGTACCACCTGACTCCAATTTAAAAGTGCAAGTGTACATATTGTTTTTAAGTAAGACATATAGACGTTTGTGTAATTCCTTTTCTATTTTGCTTACATAATCACAATTGCAACAAATATATATATATAGTAATTAATTGGCATGAATGGGAACCAACCCCACTCCAACAAATATACATATTACCATAGGCCTTGGTGCAACAGTAAGGTTGCTCCATTGTGACCTGGAGGTCATGGGTTCAAAACGGGAAGCAACCTCTCTGCATGAGGAGGTGAGGTTGTTTACATTTGACCCTCCCCAAATCCTGCAATGGTGGGAGACTAGCACACTGGGCTAACCCTTTAATGTGGCAAACTCATCCAGAATCTTGTGGCATTTTAAAGCACGTGATGCCCTCTACTCTTGTGTAAGTAACCCTTTTTCTTCTTGTGATGGGTAATTCCTACATCACATTCTGTCACTTCTTGGCAATTTTGTCTGAGAGGATCAAGTATTTGATGCATTCATCTTTATAAGCAGATCATTCTGATTTACACCCTCAACTTTTAGGAAGAAACTGGCTATATAATGATCACAGTTGCAGCAAACGGTGAGCTCCTCCAGAATCTCAGGGCCATTTAAAGTGCCTGATGTACTCAATATTTTTTCCCCACTTCTCTTTTGTGATGAGGGGGCATCCCCCTACATCTTCTTGTGTTACTTTTATATCATGGGATCAAGTGTTTGATGCATTCATGGCCATAAGCAGATCATTTTAATTTTAGAATGAAACTGGTAATTAATAAAGAAGTCATGGTAATTTGTACATCTTCTTACCTTTTTTTTTTCACACCACGCAGTTTAATAGGGGCACCAGTGCTATGCAACATTATGTGGCAACACGTCCAATGTTTATTGACTTGGAGATCATGGATGCAGACAGCAGATTGGTTCTTGGTGACGAGGGTACCTTAACTAGTCCTAGCAATGTTGCACGTGGACTTTCTTCATTCTACAAAGAAATCACAGGTTTGAAGGCCTGACATTGTTCTCTATAAAGGTGTTGGTACTCAATGTATTTGATGTCCGTCTTATGTTTGGCCTGCAGATACCGTTCGTAAAGAAGCAGCCACAATAATGGCTGTATTCCCTTCTCCGAATGATGTTATGTCAATTTTGGTTCAGGTATTTCATCACTTACTCCCTCAATTTGTCCTTTGTCCCAACATATGTTCAATGCCGATGCACCCAAATGAAGATACTAGGATCTTATTGCGTTGTAATATTACAATTTTGACATGTTTCCTCTGGTTTTTTGCAGCGAGTTTTAGAGCAGCGAGTTACTACACTTCTTGACAAGCTGTTGCAGAAACCGTCTCTTGTTAATCCACCTCCTACGGATGAAGGCGGGCTTCTTTTAGTGAGTTGAATTAATGAGGTTGCAATTGCCCTTATAATACCTATGGCAATGATGTTATAGCCAGATTTTGACCCAAGTATGTTCCTGATGTTTCAGTATCTTAAAGCACTAGCAGTGGCATATGAGAAAACACAGGAACTTGCTAGAGACCTGCGTGCCGTAGGCTGTGGTGACTTGGATGTTGAAGGTAACACTTAAAAAACAATGCTAGCGGGAATATTATTGGGGCATTTTTTTTTCTCAGTTTCAAATCCACCCTAAGCTTCTTTGCACGAGTCGCAAGTTGCAATATATCAAACCATGACCAGAAAAACCTGATTTCTGCACCAGCATCACGAATATTGAAGCCCTTTTTAAAGACATTCTCCAGTGTCATATTTCTCTCCGTAGAACTCTTGATGTAGAACAACCTGTCTCTGATACCAATTGACACAGGACAAATAGTAACCATAAATAAAGAAGGGAGAAATGATGGAGAACGAGTTATGATTTCCATGGATGAGCCGCATGCGTGCCTTTACTTTAGAAGAAGGGGCAAAGATAGATAAAATTAGGGATTAGATATAATTAGGTTTATTTTTATTTTTTTGTAATGGTTGAATGGGTTAATTAGGTATTTTCATGTTTTACGGTTTGGTTAATGTTTTGCCCATATAAAGGCTTCTATGTAACTAAACCATTCAGCTTTGGAATGTTGAACTAGTATTGTGAGTTTGGGAACTCTTCTCGTGTCTTTCTTCTCCCTTCAGTTCTTGTTTTTCTCAATCCCTCAGTCTCTAGTCTTTCTATTTCACTATGTTTCTCGTCCTGTTCATCTGTCTTCTCACCTCCATCTTCTAGCCTCATCTCATCTTCTCATCCTCATCCCCTTCTTTCTTCCTGGTTGCTATTTGTCCTGCGTCAATTGGTATGAGAGACAGGTTGTTCTATGTCAACTCTTCTGTGATCCTTAGTCCACTAATTGGATGGTTCGATCATGAAGTTCTATTTGTGCTTTTCTTTTTCTGTCAACTTCTTTTTTCACAACATTTTCCTTCTCACAAGATAACTATAGATTTAATCATTAGCAGGCTAAAAGTATGTTTCACGGCTATATTTAATTAACGAAGTTCAAATTCTGTCTTCCATTTTGCTAATTTTAGTAGTGAAAGTTGCATTAGTGAGCCTTTGAAATATCCATTCAATAGCAGTTTGTGCACATAGATATGTATAAATATTTATGACAAGTTACTGAAGGACAGTCTTGTTTTTTCAAATAAATGCAATCTTAACTAATATTTTCTTTTTAAGTTTTCTATTGGTTGAATTACACTACTGAAATCTGTTTCGTATATTTCTTTCACTGTTGATACAGGCCTAACAGAATCGTTATTTCTTGCTCACAAAGATCAATATATCGAGCATGAGCAGGCCTCTTTGAGACAATTGTATAAAGCAAAGGTTTAATCCTCTCTCTCTCTGGTTGTCTGTGTTTTGGTGACTTTGATTTGGCTTTGTGGATTCGACAAACCACCTTTAACATGAACTGTGCCATGCAGACGGAGGAATTGCATGCTGAAAATAAGCAATCTTCAGAGTCAACTGGGTCAATTGGACGCTCAAAAGGAGCTTCATTAGCATCTTCCCAACAGCAGATATCTGTTACTGTAGTTACAGAGTTCGTTCGTTGGAGCGAAGAAGCAATTTCCAGATGCACTTTGTTATCATCTCAAGTAAAGTTTGTTTCTACGTTTGATGCTTTTACTTCTGAAAGTTCTAACTTCACACAGTTCTGTCAAAAAGTGATTTCAAAATGCCTGGTTAAGTACGTGTATAATCTTGAAGCATTGAAAAACCTTACAATGTTCCTTCAAGTTACTTTGTGGTAATTAATTATGAAAATTTGGCCTCTTTGATATTTTGCCCCTTCCAAAAGTTTGTGTTAAAAAATAGTTTCTATGCATGTATTAAAGTGCCATATCAGTCATGAAATGTCATAATTGTGAACTTATATTATGTGAATCATTTGCAAGTGTATTGCATATTTGATTTTGTATCAGATTTTTTTTTTTCTGTCATATATATATTTTTTTCCTGAATGGGGTGATTTTATAACATAAAAGAAAAAGAGAATAAAGTTCAAGATAATAAAGTAGAGGCATACCCCTACAGAGACATCAGCAACTGGTCATGGAAAGAAACCATTTCCAGTACAAAAAACAAATGAAAAGGAAACAAAGAGAACACAATAGCAAAACTAGCATAGAGGCAAAAAGCCTTCAACTATGATGGCAATTGTCTCCATAAAAGCATCAACACCAACCTGGGAAGCACTCCCAGGTCCCAACAGCTCCACCATTAACCCTGCAATTTCTTTCGTCCCAAAGATTCCATATCATAGTGACAAAGGAACACCTGATAATCTTATCTCTTTGAGAATTCCCTATAGCAACCTGAAGCACGGAACACCACCAGTTCCACACTTCAGCAGCGAAGGGACACTGACCAAATAGATGATAAGTTTTATCTTCACTAGACCAGCAATAATGGTGTTGTAAATAAGAGTTAGAAAAATAGAAGAGATGAATTCTTATATATCTCATAGGTTCTCGACAGGTCAGTCAATTCAGTGAAAGATTCTATTGTCATCCCCTCATTCAAATCTAAAACTACGGAACCAACTAGCTTCACACCGGGGGAACTTGAGTACATGGGGGTTTGTATAGGAACCCAAGACATACAATCAAAACAATCATTTAGCCAATTACCCAGAAATTAAGCTAATCAAATACCAATTCCTATAATCAAGCTAGCAGGTTTTATGCATCAGAATTGTCAACTCTCTCAATTAATCACAGGCTGTAAACAGCCTATATTCATGACACTCCTCCTCAAGCTGGATAGTGGATATCAACAACTCCCAGCTTGCTGCAAATGGAGTCGAATGCATTCATTGGAAGAGCTTTAGTGAAGATGTCAGCTAGCTGATTGTAGGAGGGCACAAAAGGAGTCACTATCTCATTTGAAGCCACCTTAGAACGAATGAAATGACAGTCTATTTCAATATGTTTTGTCCATTCATTAAAAAAACTAGATTGCTGGCAATATGAATGGCGGCTTGGTTATCACAATAGAGGGGAGTTGGATCTTGCACTGAGATTTTGAAGTCCTGTAGAAGACTTCTAAACACCAAGTTAGCTCACAAATTGTGTGAGCCATTGCACGGTATTCAGCCACAGCACTAGATCGAGCAACAACTGATTGCTTCTTACTTCTCCAAGTAACAATATTACCCTTATAAAAAGTACACTAACCTATAGTATTTGATCTTTTATATGGGAGAACCTGCCCAGTCTGCATTAGAATACCCTTCAATGCGAAGATGTCCTAAAGATTGGTAGAGAGACCACGGCCTGGAGCACCTTTGAGGTACTTTAGAATGTGTATAAATGCATCCATGCGAGGCACCCGTGGGTTAGTCATGAATTGACTCACCACACTAACAACATGTGAAATATCTGGTCGAGTGATAGGTAAATCAACTTACCTACTAGTCTTCTATACATCTTAGGATCATTAACTAGGTCACCACCATCAGACATCAATTTTTTATTAGCCTCCATAGGTGTAGCAACAAGTTTAGCTCCAAGATGACTTGTATCTCTCCAAATATCAAGAACATATTTTCGTTGAGACAAATAAATGCCTTTCTTTGATATCACAACCTCAATACCAAGAAAATAATAAAGCTTACCCAATTCTTTAGCAAGAAAGTTCAAACTAAGATGACGAATCATTGTCTGAATTTCCTTGACGAATCAGAGTCTGAATGCCCTTACTGTCACTTCTAGTAATCACAATGTCATCCATATAGATGACCAAGATCACAATACCACGCTCTTCTTCTTAAGGAACACTGAGTAATCAACCTAACTTCTAGTTTTTCCATGTGTAACCGCAACTTTGTTGAATTTGTCAAACCATGCTCGAGGAGACTATTTAAGTCCATAAATAGATTTTTGGAGATGACAAACACACTTCCCCTTGGAATCAAACCTAGGTGATTGAGCTATGTACACTGTCTTAACATCAAGTTGATGAAGGGGCCAATCAAGATTTGCAGCAAGAGAGATAATAATACGAATTGAGTTTAGCTTGGCCACATGAGAAAAAGTTTCAGTGTAATCAAGACCATAGGTTTGAGTGAAGCCATTAGCAACAAGACGAGCCTTTAACCTTTTAGCAATACCATCTGGATTTTCTCCACTATGAAAATCCAACGGCAACCAACATTGTGTGCACTTTGTAGGCGTAGGAGCAAGTGACCAAGTATTATTCAAGGATAAAGCATGCATTTCATCCTCCATTGCTTTCTGCAAAGCAGGATGGGAAAGGGCCTCCTTACATGACTTGGGAACAATGACAGAAGATAAGGATATTGCGAAAGCCTTTAATGAAGGGTACAAATGATCATAAGATACAAAATTAGAGATAGGGTGCTTAGTACAAGACCTTTTACCTTTACGAATGGCAATGGGAATGTCAGGACTAGATAGAGGAGCAAGATCTGTAGGCGCTGAGGAGAGTGAGGGAGGATTCGAGGATGCTGCTATTTGGTGTTGTAATCGGTTTATATAGGCAATGAGAAGACCAAGGACGTTTACAAACATAGAACTTAGGATACAAAGAGATGGAAAGAACAGGTAGGGGCCGAACAGACTCTTGGAGTAGAGGCTCTGGTAGTTGATGACCCTTCATAGAGTAAGAGGGTACATTTTCAAAGGTCACATCAGCATATACAAAATGTTTCCTTAATGTAGGACTATAACAGTGATATCCTTTTTGAGTATGAGAATAACCAAGGAATATACATTTGTGTGGATGAGGGTCAAGTTTATCACGTGTAATATTTCAATTATGGACAAAGAAAATACACCCAAATACCTTTGGAGGAAGAGAGAAAGGATCTTTATCAAGGAAGAACATTTGAAAAGGTCATTTCCCTTTAAGAACTCGAGATGGAATTCTATTTAAAAGTATTGAAGATTTAATGGAGGAATCAGTGGAGGAAAATCTTTCAGTAATTGATGTTATTTCCTATTATTGAAGATATAGTGTTACTGGAGGAATTAGTGGAGAAAAATCCTCTTTGTTTCCTATTTCCTCCCTCTTTCCATTCTCATAATTTCTTCTCCTATATAAAGGAGCCTCCACCATTGTATTGTGTATGAATTGAGAGAGTATTATAAAAGTGATGTAGCCCTTTGGGCTCTTTGTGCCGTGGATGTAGGCCATAGTGGTTGAACCACATAATATCTGTGTGTTCTACTTGTTTTATTTATCTCTTCGCTTTCGTTTTATGCTTTGCAACATGGTATCAGAGACTAATTTCTCTTCCTAGGTTTGGACCCCTATTTTGGGGTATTCCCTTTGCATTTGAAACGTGCTAAGGGTTTCTTGGTGCTATTTGTGACTTGTTTGGGCTGCTGGTTTATTCGGCAGTAATGTTCTTCGCCTTTGTTGTGTCTCCGGCAGTTTTTATCAACTTGTTTGGACTGTCGGTATGTTTGGTAGCATTGTCCTCGTCTTTGTCGTGTCTCTGGTAGTTTTTTGTTGACCTTTGCCGTGTCTCCGTTAGTTTTTTGTTGACTTGTTTGGGCTGTGGGTGTGTTCGGTAGCATTATTCTTTGTCTTATCTCTTCATCATTCACACTTGTTGCTACTCGTCATCTCAATGGCAAGTTGGGCATTCATGCTCCAACTTGAGGGGGAGTATTGAAGATTTAATGGAGGAATCAATGGAGGAAAATCTTCCAGTAATTGATGTTGTTTCCCATCATTGAAGATATAGTGTTACTAAAGGAATCAATGGAGAAAAATCCTTCTTGTTTCCTATTTTCTCCCTCTTTCCATTCTCATAATTTCTTCTCCTATATAAAGAAGCCTCCATCATTGTATTGTGTATGAATTGAGAGAGTATTATAAAAGTGATGTAGCCCTTTGGGCTCTTTGTGCCGTGGATGTAGGCTGTAGTGGTTGAATCACATAATATCTGTGTGTTCTACTTGTTTTATTTATCTCTTCGCTTCTGTTTTATGCTTTGCAACAAAAAGCTATACTGCTATAAGAACAACATCCCCCCAAAAGTGTTTAGGCACATTCATTTGAAGCATGGCAACAACAAGGATTGGACCATTCTTTCATTCAGCAACTCCATTTTGTTGAGGTGTATCAACATGAGGTTTGATGAGTAATACTGATGTAGCGGAAGCGATAAATTCGTTCACATGGAACGAGGGTTACTTTGAATTCACAAAGTAGGGTGTTTTGAATCCATAAAACAAGAGATAAATTTATAAAGAATTCTGAAATATTATTGATAAAAAAAGTTAAATTCATTTAGGAAAAAAAAAAAAAAAGAGTTAAATTCTGCTATTGCATTACATGCATATTTATAATAGAGAAACCCTAATGCTATAAGGAAACTAATTCCTAAAGGAAAATAAAACATAAGGTAACTTAATAATAAAATAGAAACTAAAAATATAAAGAAAATTACCTAAAATTAAAACCCTTCTAAAATTAATAAAATAAAAATAAATAAAAAACCTAATTAAAAAAATAATAAAATCTACTAAAACTGTCCTACATCAGTCCCCTCTACTTTAAAAAAAAAACTTGTCCTCGAGTTTTAAAAATAATTAATCATACACAAGTATGAATAAAATTTGATTTTTCGCTATGCAAAGTTGATGCATGCAGTGCCCATTCAACAGTCTTGTAACAAGCAAGTGATTGCTTGACTCATGATGCACTGCTCTTTGTACATATCCAACACTAACTCCGAGCTCTACCAGATCATCATGTGTAAACAATGCAAAGTCATCCAAATCTTTTGTTACACAATTGTTCAAGAGATCATCCATAACATGAACTTGAAAGGCCTCTTTCTTAAGCAAAGGTAAGAAAGATGATGGTTCATTCAGAGTATTACATGAGTACATGCCCACTTTGGTGTTGGATAATGAGATTTGCTCCTCCACATGAATGGAAGTCAAACGGATACTTTTTGGAAAACCCCAATCACTTGATTTTGAATTATTAACAGGGACCACTATGACGCCATCACTAAATTAAAAATAAATAAAAAAACCTAATTAAAAAAATAATAAAATCTACTAAAACTGTCCTACATCAAATACCCCTCAACTCAAGGAAATGCTGAAAGCTATGAACTTTATGCTCAAAAGCATTATCAGTACGAAGAATGTGCAACTTGGGATTAATTTGATTAGTGATTTCAGCTTAAAATGATTTAAAATGCATCAAACACTGGGGAATGATCTTTAAGAACATATAACCAAGTCAAATGGGAATGATCATCAATAAAAGAAGAAATAACGTGCACTAGAAAAACCAGTAGTTCTAGCTGGACCCCAAACATCGGAGTGAACCAACCCAAAAGGATGTAAACAAGGACCATCAGGTCGAAGTTTAAAAGTGGCTCGATGATGTTTACGAAGCTCACAAGTTTCACATTTAAAATAGAAAACGAAGGTAAAGAAGGGACAAAAAGACGTAGATTGGTCCAACACGTGAGGTTTGATCTCGTGTTTCAATTAGAGAGGGTGTAACTTTAATATTTTAATCCTTAAATGGGGTAGAATTGTAGAACAAAGATTTTTGGCTTTTACTTTGGTGGGTCTGTGTGTTATAATGGAGCCTTGGAGTTATCTTTATGAGGGAAAGGGTTTTGTATCTGATGAATCTATTTCAGGTACTGATGCGTTTGTGAGAGGTAAAAAAGAGTTAATGGACTGGGAATTGAAAACCCCATGTAGCTATGGAAGCAATAAATTATTCTCAGGTCAAGAGGCCATTGAGAATCAGGGATTTGTGAAATTGGGTTTCTTAAAAATGATGAGAAAATCGTTGCCCAATCACTCAATCGAGCATGTTGCCGCTGAGTTTTCTGTTCATGCCATGCTCGCCGAAGCCAAACCCATCAACGTGGTAATCAAAATAAAGCCACACAAGGTGATATGACAAAGAATTGTATTTGGTTAAGCAACAAAAAATTATGATTCCATTGTTTTTGTTTGGGCAGTATATGATTGAATGGATTGCAATTGGATGAGTGCATTTATGTGTGTATATAACTATATATATGTGTCTGTATATATAAGAGAGAGAAGGAAGAGTGGGAGGAAGAGGTGGTGGTAAGAGGTGGCGGTTGTGGGTGGGGGTGGCAGTGGCGATGGTATACTGGTAATTGCTTGAGGACTTGAGAGGAGGGAGAGAACAGGGAGAGGAAGAAGACACAAGATAGAGGGGAAATTATTGGTGGATAAAATTGTCAATTCACAAGTTTAGATTTTTCATTTGTTTATTATTAAAATAATATGGTTAAAAGAGTAATTTTATTGGTATTTTTAGTCCCAAATCACTATAGGGGAGGTCCGTGCAAGGTTTTTGAAAAGTTTAATCCGAGTGTAATTAGCCAAACCTCAGGGGAGGTCATTGTATTTAACCCATAATTATTTGTTGGTATCTGTAGCTGGCAATAAGTTCTTTTGCCACCTCCACTGGATAATTAAGAGATTTGTTGCTATACTATATTCAAGTATTTCTCTCTCTCTCCCTCCCTCCCTCCCTCTCTTTTCCAGTTGTTGTTGGTTTTGTATTCAGGCATCTAATGAATGTTATTGTCTAATGATTTTGATTCTTTTGTGCATACTTCTATAATGAATTTCCAGTTGTTAGCCAAGGAAAAAAAAAAAAAGAAGAAAAACTTCCAGTTGTTTTTGGTTTTGTATTCAGACATCTAATGACTGTTATTGTCTAATGTTTTAGATCCTTTTGTGCATAATTCTATAATGAATTTCATGGGAATTTATAGTTCTAGATATTTCACAAATATATTTATTGATTCTTAAATGTCATTGTATAGCCTGCTACCCTTGCGGCCAATGTAAAAGCTGTGTTCACTTGCCTGCTTGACCAAGTAAGTTGGCTGATCTAATTTCAATAGTCTGAGCTTTTAGCTGTACATTTGGGCATTCACACGAGCTTTCCCTTTCCCTTGTCATTCTGCAGGTTGGTCAATACATAACGGAAGGGCTTGAACGTGCCAGAGATAGCCTGACTGAAGCTGCGTCTTTGAGGGAAAGGTTTGTGCTAGGCACGAGTGTTAGCAGAAGGGTGGCTGCTGCGGCTGCTTCTGCTGTAATTACTTGATCAATCTCTCTTTTTAATTTTTGTTTCTTTCTTTTTTCTTGGTCCATGCCTTATAAATAGTCTTCTGTCTGTAACATAAAGATATGTTAAGATAAGTTCTTTTTTCTTAAATAGAGAATGGTTAAGTAATGATAGATAGGTTCGTTGTTCTTAGGCAGAAGCTGCTGCGGCTGCTGGTGAAAGCAGTTTTAGATCCTTTATGGTGGCTGTACAGCGTTGCGCAAGCAGTGTGGCTATTGTTCAGCAAGTATGATTTCGTCATCAACTAGTGAGAGAATAATGCCCTGATACTTCCCTGTAACTAAGAGTGATTTGAACATTTTTATTCTGCAGTACTTTGCAAATTCTATATCACGCCTTTTACTACCTGTTGATGGTGCACATGCTGCTTCCTGTGAAGAAATGGCAACATCTATGTCCAGTGCAGAGGGTGCTGCTTACAAAGGGCTTCAACAATGCATTGAAACTGTTATGGCTGAGGTCTGTAAAATTTAATGAATTTGCATAAATTATTTAGGTTCAGGTGCACTAAACAGGGCAATATGCTCTTCATGAAGCTACTTTGTTAGCGTGTCAGCTGTATGTCATGGTGGTTATTTCCACTACATGGTAGTTTGTTCCACTTTTGCAAGTTTGCTGCTGTCTAAAATATGTTTCCATTGGTGATGATCAAATCTGCTCTTAGACTTCAGGTCCTCTATGTATTTTGTGGTGCATTGTTTTTCCTCCTCATGCAAGATATTCAAACATATTTTCTTGTAAAACTTGTGCAGGTGGAGCGATTGCTATCAGCTGAACAGAAGGCAACAGATTATCGGTCACCTGAGGATGGCATGGCTCCTGATCACCGGCCCACAAGTGCTTGTGCGAGGTATGTCTGACTTTACAAGCTCGGAACTTGTAATTGAATTAATATGCCAATTTGTGAGTGTTTTTTCTGAACTGAGTGGATGTGAAGTCAATCCTTGATTATTATTATTATTATTAGGGTAAATTGCATTAAACCCCCCTGAACTATTCTCTCTCTCTCAAGAGACCCCCTTGAACTACTATTTAGATAGTTAACCCCCTAAACTATCCCCTAAATCGGTAAATGGCTGTTAGAAATCTAACGTTAAAGGCACGTGACACACGTGACCGGGCCAAAATTTAAAAAGACAAAAATGACCCTTACGACCATTAAATGGATTATATATATATATATATATATATATATATATATATATATATAAATATGTGTTATATGTATTCTGTTCATTCGCATCATTCAGCTCATTTTCTCTCTGTATCTATCTATCTATCTCTCTCTCTCTCTCTATCTCATCTCTATCTGTGTGTGTACGTGTGTGTGTTACCATTGTACTACAACACAAACCCCCAATTCCAAACTTGGATGAGAAACAAACCAAATCACCAATTTCCAGCATTCAGCTCTCTCTCTCTCTCTCTGTCTCTCTATTTATCTCTGTCTTTATCCCTATCTCCTAAATTGAAGGATAATTGAAAGAGGAAAAGTTACCACAAAAAAAAAAAAAAAACCCTAGAATTTTGCAGCATTAATCTTGATCAGAAGAAGATATTCTGAAAATCCAGAGATATTCATAAGGAATTTCACAGCATTTACCTCAAAACCCTAGAGTTTCACAGCATTCGTCTCAAAACCCTTGAGTTTCACGGCCAAAAAAAAAAACCCTAGAATTTCTCTATTCATCTCTATCTCTATCAATTAGCCCTAAATTGATGGATAACTGAAAGAGGGGGAAAAAAAAAAAACACAGAAAAAGATATTCTGTTATCTCTATCTCATGGATAACTGAAAGTGGAAAAGTTGAAAAAAAAGAGTACCCTAGGATACGTACAGAGAGAGATGTTGGAAGATATTGTTTTCTAGCACTGCGAAGAGTTTGTGTTGGTGATTGCATATGCAACAAGATAGAGTGATCAAAGACCCGAGAAGGGTCGCTGGGGATATGCTATTGTAGGGGTGGACTGCCAGAAACATCAGAATCTGTTGATCATTCTGAAACGGAGATGAAGAAGTTGAGAGGTAAAGTTAAAATGAGTGTTAGAGTTTGTTACTGCGATTATATACTTGTATAAATGGATACAGATATGTATATGAATAGGTAGGGAGAGAGAGAGTGAAGTTGGAGGAGGAAGAAGAATATGGCGTGAAGTTAGGGTTTGGTGCGAGAATGACTTGTTTGGTAACTGATTTGGCAAAAATGAGAAACAGATGAATTTTTTGACACGGATAGGATGAGACAAATTTTCACTGGACATGGGATTACAATGGCCATGTCGACGAATAAAGTTGGATACCACATGAAACGGTGTCGTTCAATTAATGGACAAAACGGTAATTTCATTTCTCCATTAACCGTTGTTTGACGCCGTGGTGTTAAGTGTGTATTTTCCTTAGTTCAAGGAGTCAGTTTGTAGTTCAAGGGGGTTAGTTGCAAATGGGTGATAGTTCAGGGGGTTTTTACGCAATTTACCCTTATTATCTTGTTTTTCTTGTTTTGCTTATTCAATTTTCATGGCAGATCTGCCCCTTGTTTGCGATGTTGTTTCCATTTTTAGTTAACCTTTCTCTTCTCTTGGCCAGAGTTGTAGCATACCTTTCTCGTGTGCTTGAGGCTGCATTCACTGCACTTGAAGGTCTTAACAAACAAGCTTTCCTGTCTGAATTGGTAAAGTGTTCTTATTTTTTTCTCTGCTTTCTTTTGTTACCCACATTCTTTCTATGACTGTCGATCTTCGACTTTTTCTGCCTTGCCTGCATAGCATGTGTGCAATTGTTTCCTGTATGCAAAAGTCCATGAAATTCTATAATGTTAGAATGTCTTTGATCTTTCATGAACCTTACCAAACTGGTACCACTGTTAGACTAACAATAGCCCCTAAAGCTTAAGGAGCAAACCCAACACCGTACAAAAAGCTCTCATGTGCAACCCCAAACAGTCCAAATTAAACCAGAACAAAGTGAATACTTTCAAATGAAATTGGGGAACAAATGAAGATCTGCAGACTTGATCCAAGACCTCCCAGAAACTCCTGGCTCTGATACCATGTATACTTACCAATTGTCCCAAAAGCTTAAGCTGTTAGAAATGGCCCAACAATGTATAACAAGCTCTAACAACCTTACACTGTTAATTGATAGAACTCTTCTTTTTTTTTTTTTTTTTTTTTTTTCCCCTTCTTGTTGTTGACTTTTTCTGGTTATGATTGCGTCTCTTCCAATGGGTTCCTGCATGCCATTGTTGTTTCTCTCTACCACAGATGTGTTGCTTATGCTGATCCACAAGCATACTGGAATTAATAGTTTCTTTAGTTTGTTTTTTAATTTTTTTTCCTAGAAGGTTTGTGTAGTTTTATTAACAAATTATTGATAAAAACAGGCCTAGCCTCCCTCCTCTCCCCTCCCCCAACACCCCCCCACCCCACCCCCACCCCCCCCCCCCCCCCCCCCCCCCCCCCCCCAAAAAAAAAATTGATGACATGAAGCCATTGAACTATCATCATAATATAGAATACCTATTCACTTAAACAGTGACAAATTTTATTGAACTAATAGACGTCCTTTTTCCAACATCTTCCAAGTCTTTAAAATTGCAATGTCTTGTGATTACATTTGGCAATCCATCTTCTGTAATATTTTTCAGCAATCTTTGTTGTGGTGTTTATGGTCTTTTCAATTTACATTTTGAATTTATGACACTGTGAATTTGTTGATATAGGGAAACCGCTTACACAAAGGGCTTCTTAATCATTGGCAGAAGTTCACTTTTAACACCAGGTAGGACCTTGCTCTTATGTCTTACAGCCTGTGTGACAAACATAAATGATTTCCTTATTCAGGAAGTGTGTCTGTAAATGCTGGGAGAAGTTTATGCTGGATCCTTGAGAAATTTGGAGACCTTATTCATTAAGTAAAAGAAAGAGACAAAAATTTGAAACCACTTTTTGCTAAACAATATATATATATATATATATCTAATAAATTGAGTAGTTGTATGTGGCAAGTGACTTTGTCATCAAAAGTGAATCTTGCATCTTTTCATGTAACTTATTATGGTGATTACTTGAAGGAGCTTTGACTTTTCTTTTATTTTCCCATGTGGTCTATTCTTCCGTTAATTTGGACAATATCAAACATTAATCAATTTATGTTCATCTTGGAGGCCCAAGTAGTTGGGAAAAAGTCTTCGACTGTTGCTGTAGGTTCATCTCGGAGACAATTGTTCTTATCAGTCTAAGAAGGCAAGACTTATTCACAGCATCTTGTTATCAATTTTTGTTGCTCTCTTCCTCTCTTATGTTGATTCACTTTTCAACCTGGTGTTTTCTACACACCACACAAAGAAAACAAAGATTTATATGTGGTTTGGCAAAGCCTACGTTCACGGTGGAGATCTGGCGAAAGTCTTCACTATGTATAAAATCGGAGATCACAAGTTTTAGCCCCACTCTCTTCTCTATATGATTTTCAGTGTCTCTCAATCTATTCACCCCAAATCCTAAACGCCCTTAGATATCGGGCTACAAGAGAGTACTAATTAGGGTCCACTACCCACAAGCAAAAAATGGGTCAAAAATTTTCCTTGGGGGCAAGCCCCCGAACCCCTAGGGCTTTGGTGGGCTTGGGCCCACACAAAGCTCATCCAATAGGTCGTCGGCTCAAAAGCGGGTCACAATGCAACCCAATATCAAATTCGGACCACAACATCACAACAATCACTCTCAATATGCTTTGTACGCTCATGAAAGACAGAATTGTGTGCAATTTGAATGTCACTCTTGTTATTGCAATACATGGGAGTAGGAACAGAAATTCCATATCACCAAGACTCATCTGAGCCAAACAATCTCCGCTGTAGTAGCAACCATGGCATGATACTCAACTTAAGTAGAGGAGTGAGCAACAACTGTCTGCTTCTTGCTTTTTCAGGAGATGAGACAATCACCTAGAAAAACACATAAGCTAGTATGATTGGTTAAGTCCTTGGCCCTGTCAGCATAAGAAAAAGCTCGAAGTTCCAAAGCAGAAGTGGAGGAAAACAATAAACACTAATGTAAAGTACCCCGGAGATATTGCAAAATACGAAGAACTATAGCCCAGTGAACAGTAGTCGGAGAAGAAACAAACTGACTCACAATATGAACTGCATAGGTAACGTCAGGCCGTGTAACTGTGAGATACACTAAACTGCTACCTATAACATGATACAAAGTAGAATCAGCTAATGGAACACCATCTGAGGAAGAGTAATGAACATTGAGCTTTAGGGGAGTCTCGACTGTCCGAGAATCCATGAGACAAGCTTTATGCATAACTTCTGCTGCATACTTAGAATGGGAAAGAAGATAGCCTTGGGAAAAGAGGCCACTTCAATGCCAAGAAAATAGTGGAGGGGACCCAGATCCTTCATCTCAAACTGTTGTTGCAACTGCAACTACAAAAGAGCAATGCTAGCTTTGTCATCACCAGTTTGAATCATGTCATCAACATATAAGAGGAGAATGATGCGACCAACAGAAGTAGAACGAAAAAAGAGAGCTGAATCGTGATCACTAGGATGAAAATTAAAGCCATGTATCATTGTAGAAAACTTTTGAAACCAAGCTCTAGGAGCTTGCATGAGACCATACAAAGCCTTCTTGAGTTTACTCACTTCTCCAAGATTATGTGTAATACTTGGAGGTGGGACCATATAAACTTCCTCAGCCAAATCCCACATAAGAGGGCATTTTTGACATCTAGTAGTGAAACGCGCGAACATTTGTCATTTTAGCAATAGGAGTAAAAGTCGTCACATAATCAATACCATACTCCTGTGTGAATCCCCTTGCAACCCAACGAGCTTTATACCACTCTATGGAACCATCAGACTTAGTCCTAATTTTATAAACCCATCGACAACCAACCATACGTGTATCAGGGGGTAAGGGTACCAAATCCCATGTGCCAATCTTATGCAAAGAAGAGAGCTCTTCATCCATGGACTGTTGCCAATGATAATCAAGAATAGCCTCCTTACAGGAGTTATATTCAGAAAGCGAAAAAAATAGATGCCAAAAAGGAACATAAATTAGTAGAATAACAAGAAATAGAGAAACCAAAACCTGTTAAGATTCCTTGTGTTTTCTAGATCCCTCACCTTCGGCTTTGCTACCAGTTTGTTGGGACAATAGAACCGCACAAACACAAAGATCCAATGAAAGCCAACAAAGCAATCACACAGAAACAAAAATATCTAATGAAAGCCAACAAAGCAATCACACACAAACATAGATACAACGTGGCTCGTTTAACTTTATCCTCAGTGGGTGAGAGAGAGAAGACAACATACGAACATGAAGTGGAGGAAGGTGAAAAGCGGCCTACATTCATGGATGAGAATTCTGTAGAGATATTCAAATAGTAGATTACAAACACAGTGCACGTCTTTTCATCATCTACCACTCTACTAGGCTTTCTTCTTGCTACAAGTGCCACCAGTGTCTTTCTTACTATGCTAACCAATAAACTAGCTCTACCCATCAATTCCCTTATGAGAGTACACCTCTCTCAATCTCACAAGTCTCAACCTAAAACCTAGGTGCCTATTTATAGAGTCACAGTTCAATTGCTTGTTGGACAAGGATTATAATCCTTTGGAACCCAAGACTTGTCTAACAAGAAATTCCCTAACAAAATACAACTCTAAAATAGAAAATTAGACTAGGAATTTGAGACACAATTCCTAACATTCTCCACCTTGGCTCAAATTTCGTCAAGCCATTTGTCGCTTCCCACGCATTGATGACGACAATATATTGTAGCTTCAATCTTGCACACAAAACTGAATCACTCTTTAAGGACTTTCACCCAAAAATCGTTCCTACGTCCCAGTCTAATTTAGGGACTTTCACCAAAGGAGTCAGTTCCTCCTCTAGTCTGATTTAGGGACTTTCATCCACGGAGCTAGTTACTCATTTTCCTTCGGATTGCATGCCAAGATGTAACGATCAACTTGCAAAACTTTGATTGTCGACACTGTACATTGCTCGATCAGTCAAATCTCTAAACCCTCACCTTAACTATTCAAGCTCTATGCCATATAACCCATCACGATTTTCGGACCATTGTGATCAAACAAACTGATTGATTGACTCCACCTGCAACCTGTTGTAGCACCTATTGAGTGAGACTCTCTGTGTTTTTTGTATCTCCCTTACCTTCGGCTCTGATACCAATTTGTTGGGACAACGGAACTACACAAACACAAAGATCCAATGAAAGCCAACAAAAAAATCACACAAACACATGATATAACGTGGTTCGGCCAAAACCGGCCTACATCCACGGATGAGAAGAGATTCCACTACGTTTCCATAGAGATATTACAACATTACAACACCAACATCGTGTACATGCCTTTTCACATGTACCACTCCATGAGCCTTTCTCCTCACTACAAGTGCTACCAATGTTTTTCCTACTCTACTAAGACATAAATTATCTCTATCCATCAAATCCCTTGTGAGACTATATCTCTCTTAATCTCACAAGGCTCAACCCAAAACCTAGGTACCTATTTATATAGTCACAAACCCAATTCCTTGTTGGACAAGGATTACAATCCCTTGCAACCCAAGACTTGTCTAACAAAAAATTTCCGAACAAAGTACAACTTTAAAATAGAAACCTAATTAAACTATGAATTTGAGACACAATTTCCAGCAATAGATGTTTCCTTTGGCCTTTGTGTGCTGTGGATGTAGGCCGTAGTGGCCGAACCACGTTATATTCTCGTGTTCCTTGCTTAATTCTTCTCTTCACTTTTAATTTATTTGACACCATCCAAGAAACTCTAGAATCAGTCCCAATTTCTCAAAAAAAGTTTAAAAAAGGAGAAAAGCCTATCAAACAGCTTCAAAGAACAAAACAAATCACAACATAATTTACAGATGCTAACTTTTAGTACTGTACTAATGACATCAATACATTCTCAGCCTGACCTGGTGTATTTCAAACTTCTTCAAAGGTTTCGGGGTTCCGATTGATTACTCTGATACCAAGTTGAAAGTAGGGTTGAATGAGTTTGAGTACGAGAGAGATTGAGAGAAAAGAAAGTGGAAGAAGGATTTTAGAAAATGAGATAAGACACTCATCTCTATGCCGACGTGTTTATATTACTAAATGTGATTGACAATTATAGAAATACCTGGCTCTAGAATATTCTAAATTATTCTACCAGTTCAAAATATTTATTTGGAGGCATTGTTGGAAGGAAACAAGTATATTACATAAATCCTGGCTCTGATATTGATTCTAGTTCCAGTTAGTCTGAGTTTTCCCTTTGGAAGAGCTACAGATTGCTCTTGAATTTACTTGCGATATGAACTTTTGAATCAGATAGATTTTGACATGGTGAAGTTGAATGGAGCTACTAGATTTGTTCATGTCTGAGTTTACCATCAAAATTTTGATTAGCACCTTCAGTGGCTTCTTGAAATTGGTAAAAATATAAAAAATATTTGTTGACAGATAACCTCTTGTTTTGCTTTGCATAAAGGTGTTCTTCAAGAAATCTGATGGTTGAATATTATAAAGTCTGGTGTTATATTGCTCTACAACACATTGGGTTTCTGCCAACCTATTGTTTCTTATAAATAAATTCTCTCAGAAAATTATCATCAAATGCGTTGCAACTAGAGTTCATTGCGTGTCTGCATGTGCATGCTCACACATGTTTGCTTCTTTCATTTACTGGTGTAAGCAGCTCAAATGCTACCAGACTAATCAGTGAAAGAGACTGCAATTTGGCTGTATTTGTAAAATGTAAAAGATCCTAAAAATGGTTTCAGACAATTGTCACTATTGTCTTAAGGGCATGTGACAAATAATATGGCCCGCAATAAATGAGGAAAATGGCTCCACCTTTCTTTCACAGAGTTACTATTGATAAAGTATGGTAGGTAAAGACACATTTTATGACATTATGGGAAAATTTTCTATCTTTGCCAGCATCATTTGATGATGCTGACATGGACCTTTTTGCAACATTAACTTTCTATATAAGTCTGTAAATTTAAATTTTCACCAATCAACTATTATTTACTATTGTTGTTGTTCTCATCCCTTTGCTTCACTCAACAATTTGTCGATCTTGTTTCTAGTGGAGGACTGCGGCTGAAGCGTGATATAACTGAGTATGGAGAATTTGTGCGCCATTTTAATGCTCCTTCTGTGGATGAGAAATTTGAATCATTGGGCATGTAAGTTGTAGGGGTTTGCTAGGATCTCAGGCATTATATTTAGTAATTTATATCTTAATTTACTGATTTAATTTTGCCTACAGCTTGGCCAATGTCTTTATTGTTGCTCCTGAGAGCCTCTCCAGCCTATTTGAGGGTACCCCAAGTATTCGGAAAGATGCACAAAGGTAATTTTGATGTTGCCATGTTCTATATCTTAAAACCCAATTGGCACCACTACTTATAGAAAAAATTAGTTCAATGGCACAGCTTTCCTCTAACTAAAATACATTTTGAAATGCCTTATGCTATTATTTCGATTGACTGCTAGAAGTTGTTAACAATACAACTTACTTTTCCAGAAAAGATCCTTGGTGTTGGAATGTTTAACAACTATTCTCATCTTTAGCTTTCTGCTTCAGGAAGGAAGCATGTATTGTAGTTAATAACATTTAAAATTCAACCAACTTCTACCAGTAACTTTTTTTGGGGAAAGACGAAAAAGACAATGCCATCATATCTTTAACGTTTATACCTTATCTGCTCTTTTCTTGTTATCTTTTGGCGGCTGTATCGTTTATCCTGTGTCCTTTTTTGAGATTCTAAACTTTTGAATTGACTGCAAATTCAGGTTTATCCAGGCTAGAGAGGACTACAAGAGTGCAAAACTTGCAGCCAAACTTAGCTCCTTGTGGCCTAGCTCTAGTTAATTCTGTTGTGGAATGATAAGTGAATCCTCCATACTTTCTGAGTGGTTTATTAGTCATTATGTTGGTGAGGGAGCTGGTACCTTAAATTTGGTGACTTTTCAATTCTAAACCAAGTTAGGAACAGATTAGTGGCTAACATGATTGTCAGCCAGCTCATTTTTGGGAAAAAATAGGCAAATTAGCAATTGTTTTTTTTAATGCTTTTTTATTTATTTATTTTTTTAAAAGGTACTTTATATTTTTTTTTCTTTTGAGGGATAAGATAAAAAAAGAATCTTTCATTTATATGTTAAATTTGAATTCAGTCCCGTCATTCTGGTACGACGTGGTGACATGAGTCTATAACTTTAAAATGCAGAATTAAGTGGGAGATAATAAATTATTAGTCTTCTCCCCCAAAACTAACCTCACATTCGTCTCAACATTTTCTGGAATTCTTGTACGAGTCAAACATTTACACTCCCAAAAGTGACATTACACTTGCACCGTAGGGACTTGGTTGACTACAAATGAAATTCCTACCTTTTATATACACATCCAATTTCTTACAAAGTCTCCAATTTCCTACAAACTCTTTAATGAAATTTTCTAGAATCGATCGTACTTTGACACTTTACAATTCACTATACAAATGTGAAAGACTCTAACTACACCTTCCATTTACAATTCCCTACACAAATGTGAAAGACTCTAGAACCGTACCCTCCATATGTGTTGTGCGAGTGGCCTGCAGAGTGCTCCTCAATGTTGGCCGCACTTCTAGGTGGCGAATTATTCTCAAAGTTCATTTCTATTTCTATTTCTTTTTCTTTTTTATTCTCAAAGTTCAATTTCCCCCCCTTTTTCCTGTAAGGGTTATTCCAGCTGTCTTTTTGTTACTTAAACATAGAATCAAAGAAAATAATAATAATAAAAATATCTGGAGATGTAATACTGTAATGTATAAAATTGATTAATGCGCTCTCTGATCTTCTTACCAAGTGTTTTAGTAGTAATTTTTAACTTTCTAAATAAAACATATTAATAAAATGTGGAAGTGCTATAGGCAGTAATGGACAGTGGAAAGGGTCATGTTGGTTATAAGGAAAGAAAAAGAGCTCTCATTTTCATTATCTATAACTGTATTACAGAGTTAATTTTTTAATTTTTAATTAATATCATATTATTTAATCCAAAACATATACAAGTTAAAACATAAACTTCTTTACCTGGCTAATTTAATAAGAAATAAGCTTGTAATGGTTTGCAGAAATTTGTAACCGAAAAACTAATCTTCCTCCACTTGACCATTATCTAAATTTGACTTACATTTAGGTCATTTGTATGATTTTATTCATGCCTTCACGGTCTCCTATGACATCTGCATTCGGTTCGAAAATTTGAAGTGACTTTTTGATAAATCAAAGATTTAAGTATTTTTAACTAGTCTAAATTTACTAATAGGAATTTTAGTCCAACTGACATTTCCTTCTCCTGACCCTAGTGGAATTAATAGAATGTGGAGTCCATATGAAACAAAAGAATGTGCTTACGTGACTTACCTGTTAAAATAAATAAATTCGGTCAAATTTTATGTAGAGAGATTTAAGTTGTAATTGTAGGTGTAGAAATTTGTCGATATTTTAATTATTTAGTGAAAAGTAAAATAATTTCACTTAAATTTTTTATGCGAAACTTATTTGTGGGCACACTCGAACTTTTAGAGTAGTCCGAGCTCTAACTTGAAACACAATATTAATTAGGGCAAAGTATAGAAAATTTCTCTCCACTTGTAGCATTTTTCAGTAAACCCTCCTTATTTATTTTTTAACCAAAAAACCCCTTTCGACTTGTAGTCGTTTTTCAATAAATTTTCCTTGTTTAATTTTTTTACCAAAGAACCCCCATCAACTATCTGAAGGGGGTAAAAGAGTTGATATTTTGACCAAAATACCCTTTTATTTAAATCTTAATTCTCCTGAATTTCAAAAATTCATATATCATAAACAGTACATTTAAAAATTGTAAATAATATATGCATAAAAGGTTTATGAAATAAGGATTTCAGAAATATAATATTTGTACAACAAACCTTCTTAACTAAAGCGAAATAGGCAATCTAAAAATCTACTCCAACAATCTTATGTTATTTAAAAAAAATAAAAATACTCGAAATATTTACAAGAAAATTTTCAGAATTATTCATTTACATATAGAGCCAAATATATAAAAAAAATTAGCCCCAACTGTGATCGATTTCATGAAATATTATATTTTGCGTCAAAATATTTTCATTCTTTTATAGACTCACCATTTAAAAAAAAAAAAAATTGAATATTCGGTCTCTATTGGTGCTAATTTTTTTATATGTTATGCTCTATAAGAAAATGAATAATTCTGAAAATTAAAATAAAATAAGATTGTTGGAGTAGATTTTTAGATTATTTATTTCTCTCTGGTTTGAAGTTTTGTTAAACAAATCTTATATTTCTGAAATTCTTGTTTTATAAGTTTTCCGTGTATATATTATTTGCAATATTTGGATGTACGGCTGGTGAGATATTAATTTTTTAAGTTCGTAAAAATTAAGATTTATATAAAAAGACATTTTGGTCCAAATATTAACTCTTTTACCCCCTAAATAGTTGAGGCCTTGAGGGGGGTTTTTTGGCAAAAAATTAGACAAAGAAGATTCATTAGAAAGGGCTACAAGTCGAGGGGGTTCTTTGGTAAAAAATTAGAAAAGAGAGTTTACTGGAAAAGGCTACAAGTTGAGGGGGGGTTTTCTGTACTTTGCTTTATTAATTATAAGGTTTGCAGTTATAGTCACGGTAGCCAAGGGCAGAGCCAGTGCACGTGCCCCTGGCCCCGCTTACTGTAATATATATACTAAATTTATATATTTTTACATATATATATGAAAAAATTTAGATAATGCCCCCCCCCCCTCCCCCCTAAAATTTTATTTTCTAAAACTCTCTCTTAAATTGTGTATTTCTTCTCTTTTTTACTCTTTAAATTCGTTTAATTTCCTTTAAAAAAAGTCAAATTTTCCTTTTTGAATCAAACTCCAATTTTTTTCACTTTCAAAATTTTCTCATTTTTCTTTCATTTTTAAATTTTTTGTTAATTATTTATCTTTCTTAAATTACTTATTGATTGACATATTATTTTTATGGAATCTATATTTATTATCGTGATTATTGAATATATACATATTTTTTACACTATGCCTGGTCTGAATTTAATTTTGGCTTTGCCGTGTACGAACTCGGATGAATATAGATATTACTCGGATGAATAACGGTATTACGTAACAGTATCTCGCAATCGTGAATTCTTTAAGTCAATGTTCTTATTAAGGAGGCATGTTGATAATATTTTTTTTTACTAAATTAATGAATAATAATATGTTGAAGTATTAAATTTTTTTTGCACCATATATAACATGGGAGAAGAGAAAATAAAATTAAAAAAATATCTATAATAAAATTCAAAAGAAAGGATAAAAAAAAAAAGTGTACTCACGCCCTCACTCACATGAGGTAAGTGATGTTCAAATCTAACCGATATGTATTAGACTAAGGGAAATGATTCTTGTACTGAATAGTTAAAGTGAATTGCTAGATATACTATATTAATTGGTTAATTATGTAACAAATAAAGAAGTGAAGCCCTCCACTTAGTTGTATTTGGTATAAATAACTAATTACAAATTATTTGGTTAGGCAATTCACTGCAAGTGTTCGGTGTAAGTATCACTACTTTTAAACTAATCATGTCTATCACTTCTTCCCAGATTAAGAATTAATATAAATATGAAAATACGAATCCATTAATCACGTTTCGACATTAAAATTTGCCTACACAATTAGTTTATCACATTTGGAGCTTTGAGCTAGATGCTTATTGTTTTTATTTTCTAATATTTTTTAATTAACCCATAACAGATATAAAAATTGCATTAGAATCACATTTTCTAAAAAATAATTACAGAATTATCCCACTGCGTCCTGAAAGTTTCTCCAAAGTGTCCAAACATGAAGAAAAAAAATTGAAGTTCCAACACTTCAATTAGGCCGTGTTCCACTCCCGTTTGATATTGCCATAGCACTCAGAATTAGACCGTGTTCCACGCCCGTTGATATTGCCACAACACTAAAAAAGAAGTCTCTACACCCATGACTAGTTAAGAGCAATTGTGGCGTTCCATGGTAATAGTTCTTAAAATTGTGAAGTCTATCTCATATTCTTAAATTCTTATTGTTTAGACCACATATTTAAACATTTTTGATAAAAATAAAAAGCGCTTAACCCAAAATCTAGGCACCAAAATCAACCTTCAATTTTGGATGGGAAAGATTAAAAGTCAATTGAAGTATTGGTTGTGTTAAAAAAAAAAAAAATTGAAGTATTGGTTGAAGAATCACATTAACATGCTACACTACAAAATAGGTATAGAGTTTAAAAGCTGTAAAAAAAAAAAATGCTTTGTATTTCGAGGTATTTGAAAGAGGTATAAATGGGTATGTATATAATACTATATAACAACTTCAATTTTTGAGTAAATAGACAAACGTTTATTCATTATCATTACTATTTTTTGATAAATTGAGCAATGAAGCTACATATCACATTTAACCTTTTCTCTCATTATCATCAATATCACAGTTGACGCAGTAGTGGGACCCTCACATTATTATATATAAATATACTGACCAAAATTTTGAATAAGTTCTCACTTTGACTTTATTCTTCTTGTTTGGCTCCTCCTACCCTTAATTTGCTTTTGCTCTCTCGTGAATTTTCCTAGAAAGTAGTAGATTGTCAAACTTTTGAACCATCTGTTTTTCTTCAGAACAGCAGATATTTTGTACAATTCACGTTTTAAATAAGACTGCGTAAACCAACTACATCTAAATAAATTATGCATTACCCTTTACAAAGAACAAAAAAATAATATATTTAAATTACTAAAAGATTGTATCTTTCTTGACCAAATGAAAATCCAAACCGGGGGCTCCAAAAATAGATTGGGTTAATTCCACTTTATCTCCTTTGAAGCTTCTCAATAACCTACATAGACCGGCTTTATGTTTTCTAATCCACTTGTTTCCTTTGAGGTTCTGGTTTATTTAACAAATTATCTTTTCTTGACCATTTTGCCCTTCTAATGCTTGAAATGATAACAAGCATTTCATGAGTAAAACGATAAAAAAAGTCACTAAGTGAAATTATGTAACATAAAAGGAGGTTTCTGTGAAATATTGACAAACTCCAACGAAGAAAATAGAATTTACCCAAATAGATTTAGC